TTTGTATATTTTCACAAACCATAAAATAAAAAAAAAATAAAATAAACAAAATAAAAAAAAAATAAAAAAAATAAAAAAAATAAAAATGTTTAACCCAAGCAGTAAAAATAATAACGATAATAATGATAATGATAATAAAGATGATAGTAATATAAATACTGATATAATAGATAGGGATTATAAAAATGATAATAATGAAAATTCTGTAATATTAGTATCAGAAAATAATAATAATAGCAATAATAATAATAATAGTTATAATAATTTAAAATCATTTTTATTTATACATAAAGTAAATAAAGATGTAAGTTATCTAAATTTAATAACAAGTTATTTAGGATCGTTCCTGAGTATTTGTTTTCTTGTTTTTATAAATGTTGCACAACCATATATTTTAAACTCATTAAATATTAGCGATGATCGTCAAGGTAATTATTTTTTATTACTTAAATAATGTAATCACTATAATAATAGTAAATAATAATACTTATAAAATATTTAATTCTTTTTAGGTAATGTTAGTGGTAATATATCATTTTGTAATGAAGTTGTAATTGTTTTAGCATCATATCTTTGGGGTATATTGAGTGATAAAGTAGGAAGACGTATAGTTTATAGTGCCGGTATGTTTATAATTGGTATAGGTTTAGCTATTTATCCATTCGCAAATTCAATATTATGTTTAATGATCTTTAGAGTAGTGTTTGCAATTGGTGCCGCATCATGTTCATCAATGCTTTCAGCTGTATTGGCCGATTATATACCATTCATAGACAGAGGTAAAGCAAGCGGTTTATTAGGTTTTTCAGCAGGTGGTGGTGCAGTATTAGCATCTTTAGTATTATTAAAAATACCAGATATCATCAATAACAATTCTAGTTTAGGTCCTTCTAGATCCACAGAGTTAACATATGGTATGACAGCTGGTTTAGCGGTAATAGGTTCAGTTATATTGTTCACATGCTTACAATGGAAATCGAAAGAGTCATCAATCGCAAATAATGATAGAAAGAGTATTTTAACAATAGCATTGGATGGTCTAAAAGCTGGTAAGAAACCATTGCTTTCATTAGCTTATGGTTCTGGATTTTTAGCTCGTGGAGACAGTGCCATCGCCACCACTTTTCTTTCATTATGGATCTACCAATATACTCTATCTGTAAATGGTGGTAATAAAACAGATGCCCTCTCTAAAAGTGGAACCATCTCTGGCATTGCTCAAACTTGCGCCTTGTTTTTCGCTTTGTTTGCTGGCTTCCTCTGCGATCGTATGAATAGAATTTTCGCTATGGTCCTTTTGGCGTTGGTTGGTTGCTTTGGTTATTTCCTTTTAGCATTCAGCGAAAATCCTTTAACCACTCAATTTTTTGTAGGTGCTTGTATTATTGGATGTGCCGAAACAGGTATGGTAGTTTCATCAACAGCTCTAGTCGCTCAAGAGTCTCCCATTGAATTACGTGGTTCGGTAAGTGGTTTCTTTGCTCAATGTGGGTCACTCGGTATTCTTGTTGCCTCATTATTAGGTGGTGTTCTCTATGATCAATGGAAAGGTTTCCCATTTGCTCTATTTGGTGGTTTCTCTGCTATCCTCTCCATCTGGGGTTTAATAATATTTTTTATTACTCAATATCAATCAAATTTATCTCCAAGTAAATTTAAAAATTTCTTTTTAAATTTGGTATCAAATAACGATAAAGAATATAACAACCAAATGAAATTCAATGATTTAAAAAATCCTTTATTGGTATAAAAAAAATATATTCATAAATCATCAACTCAACATCAACACAATTAATAACACATCAATCAGTTATAATAATTTTTTTTTTATAATCACAATTTTTTTAATTATTATAATTTTTGAAAAAAAAAAAAAAAAAAAAACTATTTATTTATTCATTTAGTCAATTAAAATAAATATTTTATTTTAAAGTAAATTTAATATATAATAATTTTATAGGTGTAAAAAGCTTAGAAATAAAAGAAATAAAATTACCAAGGTTACTCAATTATTTTTAATCAAAAAAAAAACCTTCACCTAACCAAAAAAAAAATATTTTGTAAATTTTATGAGTAAATTAGATTTTTTTTTTTTTTTTTTTTTACAGTTAAACCACTTTGAGGTTGTGCATTTTTTTTCTTTTAAATTTTGAAAGATGCACCCCTTTTTACCTTTCAATTTTGGGAATCACAATAAAAAATCTAATTAAATTGTTTTTTTTTTTTTTTTTTAAATTTTTTATATTTTAATTTTCTAAAAATAATTATTTTTAAAAAAAATCGATTTTTGTAATTTTTTTTTTATGCACAACATAAATAAAAACAATATAAAAATAATAAAGTAATAACAATAAAAAATAATAATTTATATTTAAATTTCAATTAAAATCTTTTTTTTATTTTTTGTTTTTTTTTAAAAAAAAATGATAAAATTTTTTTTTTTAATTTTTTTTTTTTTAATTATCAATTTGTTAAATACAGTAAATGGTTCACCATGCCCTAAAGCTCCATCTGTAGACCTGAAAAAAGGTGAATGTGACAGTAACTTTTTTATTATGCAAGGTCCAAAGGTAATAATTCACAATTTTTACATGTATACAGATATTAAATTTCAACCTTTACCAATTTCAAAAGCCTATGAGGGTGGAGTTTTACAAGTAGAGCTAGATTACGAAACAACCTATAATATTACATTCGAAAATCCTAATTGTCCTGATGGCCGTCAGGGTGAAGATGTAACAACAAATAGTGGACCAAGATTAAAAATTACACAACCAAAATGTATGAATTCATTTTCAACAATCGATTTCGATGATGGTGAGGATCAACCTAACAACCAAAGAACCTTTCAAATTAATGGTGGTACCGTTCTATTACCACACGAAATTAAATTTGATGGCACTGATGAAAAAAAATTTTATACATTTTTAGATGGAAGAACTGAATGCCAAGCTAGTTTTTACTTGTATCAAGGTGGCAATCAAGGTGTACCAGATATTCAAGTATTCCCAGCTACTTGTGGCAGTGGTGGTAGAATTCTTTTGCTTGGTAGTGGCGAATATTCATCGGTTGCTTTATACAATTCATTAGACTCGATTATTCCTCCAACTACTAATATTGACAACTTTGAAAATTTAAAATCAGGTGACTATTATTTTGTCTTAGAATCAAGTGCTTGTGGCAAACAACGTTTCGAAATAATAGTTCCAACTGGTATGCCAGAATATGAATTGACTCTTTTCGATGACTCATGCCCTATCTCACCAATTTATGAAATGTCTGTTGATGGCTACGATTTTACTGTTATAGTTAATGGAAATAGAGTCAACAGCACCTTCACCAGAACATTAGGCCAATCAGTTGAGGTCGAAATATTAAAATGTGGTACTTTTAATGTTCCTTTTAAAGATATCGCTTCGATTCCCCCAATTCATTATAGTATTTCAGAGACCAACTTTTGTCAAGAAACCGCCATTCTCCATTATGATCCTGATGTTGTTGGAGATATTACCATAGAAGTATTAAATACAAATACCGGCCAACCATCAACTACCCATCTCGAGAGCGATAATTCATTCACAGTAAATGACCCAAGTATGTTTATCTACAATGTTAAATCTGAATGCTATTCAGAACCTATCAAAATTTTATCAGTTAAAAGAGAGCCAAACTTCGTAATTTCAAATAAAACAAACTATTGTAATGAATTGGTTGATATCACAGTTACAAATTATTTAGATTTTAAAGATATTTACCTTTATCTTGGAGGTGAATATATTTATCCAGTAAATGGTGTTTTTAAACAAGTCCTAAATCAACGTTATTCACTTTATTATCAGCGTTTTGGTTTTTGTAATTCAGAGAGTCTTTCAATTAATGACCATATCAATAAAGCCAATATTTATGTCAAATCAAAAATGTCCAGCGACCCAAATTGTTTATCCGAATCAACGGTATTTAATATCTCTATTTTCGATGCTTTTACAAATCAATTTATTGTTTCTATTAACCAGAGTGTTTCCCAATATTCTTTCCCTGATCAACAATACACATATGATTTGGCTGGTGCTAATAAACTTTATTGCAATGCAGTCTTTAAATTTGATTACGAACGTAGGTATATTATTTTAAAACTTAAATTTATATTGAATAAATTTTAACTAATTGCTTTTTTTTGCGTATTTTAGTAACTAAACCACAAATAATAATTGAAACTTTATCAAAGCCAATTTGCAAATATTCCCAAGATGGTGGTATTATTATAATTACTGGTTCAAGAGAAATACAAGATCTTTATGTTGATAATTACCCTAAAACCCCTGGGGCACCCATTGAGGTTTCAGCCGGTAACCATTCAATTACTGGTATATTCAAATCATATTGTGGTGACTTTGAAACCTATTATTTTGTTGATTCGCAGTTTCCAAGTTTTAAAGTCGAATATGACATAACACCAGTTTCAAACTGTATCAACGGTGATGGTAACATTGCTGTAAAAGACTATTCAAAATATGCATCATTGGAAATAGATGGAGCCCCATACAGCGGAGTAAATAGTCAAGACTACTCATCAAAAAACTATAATGTATCATTTTCAATTGATTTAGGATCATCCCAAATTTGCAGAGGCTTTGAAATGGTTTTTCTACCAACTTCAATCGCAATCACTCCATCCTATAGAATAGTACAACAACCATTATGCGATGAAGATGAGCAAGATACTAGCGGTGTTGTTGTTATAGATTATATAAAAAATAAAAATGGACAAGAATATCCAATTGAATTTACCAATGGAAGAGAAAGTTCCTCTATGGACGGTCTAGCTCCAGGAATGAATGAGTTGAATGTTGTTAGTGGCTCTTGCAGCTGGAATATTCAAGTTAATGTGCCAGTAGCCAATGTTACCATTACACCAGTTCTAGATTTATTCACTGTTAAAGAGTGCAATAGCTATTCCCGTTATAGATTAGATTTTAATAACGAATACGCAGCACTCACTTCCTCAAGCGATGAAAACACCGACCCATTAACAAAATTTTATGTAACAGTGGATTCATTCGGAACAAAAACGGTAGGTGTTAATTATGGTAGAAGATGTTTTAAATATATTACCCTTGAGGTTAATTATCCAAAATTACCACAAATCAAATACACTATAACTTATAATGGCGAACCTGGTTGTGCATCCTCAATTAACATACAAGTGGAAGATTATAAAAAATATGAAGTATTAAAATATGGAGACGCAGCAATTAATCCAGATGGATTCTTTTCAAATGTTATTCCAGGTCAATATCTCTATTACAGATTATTTAATCTAAGCTGTACAATCCCCGAACTAATTATAATTGATGAACAACCAACCATTAGCAGATCAACAGTAAATGAATCATGCAACGAAGCCTATACAGGTAAACTTAGTGTGCTCGATGCCGATAAAAATAATTACTACTATTTACTTCAGAATATTGATAATAGTTACGAGAATGACTTCTATTCAACCTATCCAGTTAAATCAAATCAAGATAAATCATCATTCGAATATATTGGTGGCCAAAATGTAAGATTACTTAAAATCAAAAAAGACCAACCAACTTGTATTATAGAGAATAAATTGGAATACTCTGGTTCAGAACCTCAGCTTTTAATTAATGTAAATGATCAATGCTCAGATGAATTGGGTTCAGTCTCTATAGTTCCAGATATTTCAGGTTTAGAAGGCACTTATACATTAGGTGATCCTAATACACCAACTTCAACACCATCTCAAACTCCATCATCAACTCCATCACCTACTATGCCACTACTTGTAGATGGGTCTGCTTTTGCTTTGGGCAGTAGTAGCTCTTCAGGTGGTGTATCCGCTGGCAATTACTCACTCCTCTACACAATTACATCAGACTTTTGCAAAAGAAATTTCCACTCATTCATTAATGTTCCATACTCTGAATCTATAAATGTTTCGGTCACTGCTTGTCAAACTGTTCAATTTGTGCCCAAAAATTTAAATCAAACCTATAGTTATACAATATTTAAACCAAACCAAGAATCTATCGAAACCCATAATATTACAGGAACATTTTCATACAACTCTTTTAATGAATCTGGTACATTTATTTTACAAGTTTCATCTGGTAGTTGCATTAAAAACCACACTCTTTCAATCGAAAAGTGTAACAATAGTAAATCAAATGTTGGTTTAATAGTTGGTTTGGTTTTAGGTTTAGTTGCTCTGGCCACAATCATCGCACTTGGTATCTTTTTATACAAAAAAAGAGTATCTGGAACAAAGGTCAAAGATGTTGCTCCAATTCAACATGAATTAAGCACAGTCAAATTTTATCAAGGCGGCAAAATTGTTGAAGCCGATAAATTTTAAGCAACAATTGTTGGTAATAAAAAAAATAAAAAAAAAAAAATTTTAAATAAATTTTTGTCCAAAGAACCAAAAATATCTTTTTTTTTTTTTTTTTTATTTTCTGAATTTTTATATGTATTAAAACAAAGCTCGTAAAAAAGATAATTATTTTTTTTTTATATTCGCTTTAAAGCTCGTAAATTAATTTTTATTGGCAAATATTAAATTGAACATTATTTTTATTTTTTTCATTTGTTATTCACACAATTTTTTTTTCTCTTAGATTTAATTTTTTTTAATTACCACCACAAACAATTTTTTTTTTTTTTTTATTTTTTTTTTTGTGTATAAAAAATAAATAAAAAATGGATAAAATTTTTAAGTATTTTTTATTATTTTTTATATTTTGTAATTTTAATAGTTTTGTAAATAGTTTAAAATGTTCACCTGTATATAAATTAATAGATAATGGAGGGTGTGATAGTAAAACCAATGCTATAGTGCCACCAATATTCTATATTCAAGATTATTACAACTATGAAAATATTTCTTGTAGTCCATCACCAATTTCAAATACTGTAGAAAATGGAGCCTATTATCTCTATCTAGATTATGGTGTAAATTATACAATTACATTAACAAACACAAGTTGTGATGTACCAAATATAGTAATTCAAGAAACAACAAAAAACTATCCAAGAGTAGTGATCACCCAACCAAAGTGCCTATACTCGAGTGCAACCATCAATTTTATTGCAAACGATACTAATAGTAAAAGAAATTATTATATTCAGAATACCCAAGTACAATTACCATATGAAATGGTATATAATAGTAACCAGGCTATCAGTTTTTATTCAGCAATCAATAATCAAACTGAATGTAAATCAAATTTATACTTAAAGTCTGAAATAGAAGGTACTCTTAATTTACCAGAGATTGAAGTTATACCAGCAACATGTAATATCAGTGGTGAAATCAATATTTTAAATTATCAAAACTATACCCAAATCACTCTGTACAATAGCAACAATATTACAATATCAAGTAATAACACCAATGGTACCTTTGTAAATTTAGCAGCTTCCCAATATACTTTGGTATTAGTATCAGATACTTGTGGAAAGCAAAGTTTAGCAATCACTGTAGAAAATACTCCACCACCATATCTTATGGCATTAGAAGATGAATCGTGCCCAAGTAAACCCATGTTCTCAATATCTTTCAACGGAACCTATAATTACTCCATCAATAAAGGCTCACAAACTCTTCATAATCCTTTCGAATATGACCACCAACCAATCTTTGTTAATATTACTAATTGTATCGCCTTCCAAATCCCACCAGTATCTTATGCTTCTGTTCCACCAATTAAATACACAGTTTCTAAATTAGAGGACTATTGCAACAAAAATTATACCATCACGCTTGATTATGACTCATCTTTAGTTTCAGATTTAATCATCGAGTATTTTAACATTGATAATATCCGTGACAGTGGTGTTGTATCTTTAAATGGTAAAAGTTTCACTGCAGATATTGACCATCGATATGAAATTTCTTCAAGCTATTGTTATAGTGATAAAATCAAAATCGAATCACCATCACCAGTACCATCGTATACCTTTTCAAATAAAACCAGTTATTGCAATGAATTGATAGATATTTCAATTACAAATTGGGAAAACTTCACCACTCTCTATATTATTGCTAGTAATAATGATGGTTCAGCCCAACCAATTCCATCAGTAAATGGTACTTTCAAGCAAGTTCCAAATCAACAATACAATCTCTTTTATGTTTACGAAAATTGTACCGACAATGAAAGATTTATTAAAATTGGAAATAACAATATAGATGCAAATATATATTATACCACCAACATTATAAATCAGCCAACATGCAACGATGCCTTCAATGGTATACTTGAAATAATTGTTTTCGATAAATTTACAGATAAAGAAATAGTTAGAGTAAATGAAACCTTAACATATTATGACGATTTCACAATTAAATATTTAATTAATCTTTTACCAGTATTTGGTTGTAGTGCAAATGTAACTTTTAATTATGATCGTAAGTAAAATTACAGTTTGGTTTTTTTTTAATTTTGTTTTTCTAACAAATACTAACTAAAATAATTCTTTTATAGGTAAAATCCCAGATTATCAAATTACAACATTAACCAAACCTGTTTGTATTTATTCAAAACAAAATGCAACAATATCAATAAATTCATCTACTTCCATTGGATCAGTTTTAATAAATGGCATTAAACAAAATATTAGTGTGCCTTATCAAGTTCCTATTGGTAATAACACAATTACAATAAATTTTGTTTCTAATGGCGCTATATGCTATTCTATTACCACATTTTATAATGTCGAAACCCAGTTCCCAGATTTCCAAGTAAAGTATGATACTACTCCAATTAATGATTGTAGTGCAAACACAGGTTGTCTCTCTATCATTGACTATAGTAATTATACAAGCTTAGCAATTAGTAATGTATCAATCTTAGCAACTGGTAATAGTAGCAACACCTATCCTTCTGGTGATGTTCAAGTTGATTTCTCAATTTTATTAGATAAAGAAGCAATCTGTTCTGGTTCTGTAGATATTTATATTCCAACCTCAATCCAAATTAATGAGGCCTCACCTTCTTTCCAAGTCATTCAACAACCTTTATGTGATGCTGATAATAGTGGTGTTATAGTATTTGATACTATAAAATCAACAGATAATAAAATCTATGTCATAGATAGTATTGAAGGAGATAATACCAATGCCCTTTCTCCAGGTAATCATACATTTATGGTTTATAGTGGTTCTTGTAGTTGGGAAATCCCTGTTCAAATTAATTCGACCAATGTTGTAATCGAACCAGTTTTAGAATCTTATTTTATCAATCAATGTGCAGGTAGTTATCGTTACAAGTTAACCTATAACAACTATTTAGCAGAAAAAACATCAGTTGCCAAAACAAACAATAACCAAATAGGAAATATAATTATAGGGGATACTCTTTCAAATAGTAAAGTTATTAATGTCAACATTAAATATGGTAATAAACAAGTTTGTCAACAAATCTTAAACATTGAACCACAAAAACCAACCTATATTCCAAATATAAACTATACAATTATTACAAACAGTATTAATAGAACCTGCCTTACAGATAATGACATCGATATTAAAGTAGAAAACTATAATCAATATCAAAATTTACTCTATGGCAGTGTTGCAATCGATTCAGAAGGTTTCTTTAAAAACGTTAGAAGAGGAGATTTTATCACTGCTTCCCATTATAAATTTAACTGTAATATCACCACCCATGTACTCTATGATAAACAACCAATTACAATCCAATATTCAACCTGCATCAAAAAAGAAGATTATCTCTTATTAAAAATACTCATGCCTGTTAGTGTTTTCATTATCGGTTTAGTTCTTGTTATTTTAATAATCATAAAGAAAAGAAAAGATAACAAAGAGTATCAAAGTAGACATTTTATTAAACTTACATCAACTGAAGAAGATGAAAGCCAATTTGATTTATACAACTCCACCAGATAAATAATTCACAAAAATAAAAAAAAATAAAAAATAAATTAAAAATTTTAATTTTATTAATCATTGGAAATATTAATTTTGATTTTTTTTTATTTCACATAATATTACAATATTATAATTCTTTAGTTATATTAGTGATATAAATAATAAATTAAACTTATACTATTATAAATATCACCATCACAGCTTTTGAAAATAAATTGTAACATTATGCTTAGATTCACCTGAATATCTTTATCAAATAAACTCTGTACTAATGCAACATCAATCTAGGTTTACTAAAATCTATTGGTGAAATATGAAATAAAATATTTTTTTTATTTCATAAAACACATAAACCAAAATAGTATTTTTATAAAAAATATTTAAAAAAAAAAAAATGATAAATTAAAAAAAAAAAAGAAAAATATAAAAAAATAAAAAATTAAAAAAAAGTTTTTAAAAATTTTTATAATCGTTGAGCCTATAAAAACTCTTTTTCTTTCTTTTAGACCATGTATCAATGCAATTAAAGGCAAAGTTTATTGTTATAACCTAATGTTACCATATTAATGGCCTCTATATCATCACAATATATATAACATATGTTATCTTTTTGTTCTTGTTCTAAACGTTCCTTTTCTAATCTTTCTTTTTCTAATCTCTCTCTTTCTGCACGTTCTCTTTCAATACGCTCTCTTTCCATTCTCTCCATTTCTATTCGAATTTTTTCTGATTCGACCCTTTTTGCTTCCTCCTCTTCAAATTATGTTTTTTGGTGGGGCCCATGTTGTGTCCATTATAATTGTGATCATTGGACTCATCATCAGACTCCAATGGTCTCTTCATTGGAGTACTACGAGTTGATTTTGGAGCACCTCTATTATTGAAAACTCGTGGAACATTTGATGGTTGTGGGTGTTGTTGATGTGGACCGGTTGTTAAAATAATATCAAAAGCATAACAGATGATTTCTTCAAAAGGAAAAGCTTTTTCCGAAAAAGTAAATCCAATTGGGTAACTTCAAAATTATCAAAAAAAAAATTAAAACACTTTATAAATTTCCACAATAAAAAAATTTAAATAATAATTACATTATATGGCTCTACACTACTATTTACATTAATACAGTGATTTATTTTTGTGATTACCTTTTTAGTCAATAAATAGAAAGAAATTTGTTTTTTTTTTTATTTTTTATATTTTATCTTTTTTTTTCTAAAATGATTTTTACTATTGGTTAATTCATTATTATTTTCTACATGATGATTATTAAATATTGATTTTAAGTCATTTATTTAATTATTTTTTTTTTTTTTTATTAATAAATTATTTAAAATTATATTGATAATGTAAATTATTATAATAACTTTAATTGAAGTTTTCTCCCATATAAATTAAAATCTATAGTTCATCTTTGTAAAATAATAAAGTTTTTTTTTGATAATAGTGAAGTTCCCTAATTGGATTTACTTTTTCCTTTTGAAGAAATCATCTGTTTAATTTTTTTAAAAAAAATTTTAACAACCACTATGAATTGTGTGCCACACCCCATTAATTTTTTATAATCATTTAAAAAAAAAAATTTTTAATTTAAAATTTTTAATAAAAACTTTTTATTTCAATTTTATTTTTTTTTTCAATTTTTAAATTTCATTCCTTAAAGAAATTTTTTTTATTTTTTTTTTCTTTATTAATTTATCTGTATACAAATAATAATTTACATTTATTTATTTATTATAACAATCAACACAATAATAATATGAATAACTTTTTATATTAATTAAATAATTTTTAGCAATAAACAAATAATAATTTGCAAATCACCTTCCACATCACCATTATTTAATAATAATAATTTAATATAAAATGATTGGTTTTATAGTATTATTTTTCCTTCTTTGTATAGTCCTTGGTTTTTTATATGGTTTTTTACCAGGTTATGTTTCATTTTTATTTTCAACCAATAATAACAATAGAAATAACACCGGGAACGATTATTTATACAGATACAACACCTTCGTCTACCCACAACAAACTACACCAATTTTTTATACTGCTCCAGTAAATAGGACACAACCACAACAAATTCAACAACACCACCAACAACAACAACAACAACAACAACAACAAGGCTCCCAACACCAACAAGGCTCTCAACACCAACAACAAAATCCATTCTCAAGGGCTCAATATTACCATCTCCCATCAAATAACCAAATCTACCCACATTATTCTGCTGATATAATTATGACAACCGGTCCACATCAACAACACCCACAACCATCAAATGCTCCACCAGTTTTCAATAATAGAGGTGCTCCAAAATCAACTCGTAGTACTCCAATGAAGAAGAGACCATTGGAGTCTGATGATCAAACTTATATTGGTCACAACATGCACCCCCTCAAAAAACATAGATTTGAAGACGAGGAAGAACAAAAAAGGGTCGAAGCAGAAAGAGCTCGTGTAGAAATGGAAAAGAAAGAAATGGAGAGAATGGAAAGAGAGCGTATTGAAAGAGAACGTGCAGAAAGAGAGAGATTAGAAAAAGAGAGATTAGAAAAATTAGAAGAAGAAAGATTAGAAGAGGAACGTTTAGAAGAAATAAGATTAGGAAAAGAAAGAGCAAGAAAGGAACTTTTAGAAATAGAACTAGAACTAAAACAATTACAAGAAGAAGAAGAGCAAGAACAAGAACAAAAACAAGAACAAGAAAATAACGTATGCTCTATATGTTATGATGAAATAGAAGACTCTAAAATGGCAACAATAAACTGTGGCCACAAATTTTGCTATAAATGCATTATTAAATCTTCTAAAATTAAAAAAGAATGCCCATTGTGCAGACAACCAATCCGTACTATTAAAGTAAGTAATTCATACATTCATATTTATACTTAATAAATAAAAAATATATATTAATTTATTTCTTTATTTAATTGTAGGTTAGATGCTTAGAATTTAATATTGATTATCCAGGCTATGAATCCGATGATAGATATAATGATGACTCCTTTATTTCAGGTCACCTATATTATAACAGACGTAATAACTATAGTACCTTTTGAAATCGATAGCAATTAAATTAAAATTTTAAGTACTTTATTCGATGTTTCATTTATGAAATAGATGAAGAACTAAATATTAGTTACATTGCTAAATTCAAAGTTTCAAGGAATTATATATATTACCGTCTTCCGAATCATCCAAAACTTCTAAAATTAGCCACATCTGCATCATAATTTAAATAATATCTCATCATACAGTTCAGTTCTACAGAAAAATGCAAAAAAAAGGTTCAAGATAATACTAAATGTTCCAGTTCAAAATAGCAGCTAATAATTCAATAAGGTAAGTATAATTAAAATATTTACATGATCATTATAATATTTGAATATAAAAGAAACTAATATTTAACTTTAATACTTTTTTAGTTTAATTCAAATTCTATATTTTTCGATATCAATACGTTTTCAGTTTAAAGTTTCTAATCTAACATTAAGGTTTTTTCGATCCAAAATTCAAAAACAAAGTGCACGAAAATCTTCAAGGTAACCATAGCCAAAAATCAGAGCCCCGCTTTTCTTTTAAAGTTCGAAACATTTTATTTCACTGCCGCCACATTCCTTTAATTAAATCACCATTTCAAAACAGATAAGAATGCTTCATAACTATAGCCCACTTACTTCAAATCAACAAGTTTTAAACTATTATAATAGAAAATCATATCACAATTCAGTCAAAATCATATACCAGCAGCTCAAACACCCTTTATAATCATCACATCAACAATTTTCACACAAATCCGTAAACAAGCAGTATAAACACTCAAACTCATATTCCAGAATTATAAATGCCATTTACAACCATCACATCAACAATCGCACTCCAAATCGGTAAACAAGCAGTATAAACACCATTTACAACCATCACATCAACAATCCTACTCAAAATCATAATCAAGCAGAATTGCCACACTAATTCACAACACACTAAAAACATATATAAACAATATATAATCATGCATAAACCATCAATAATAATCAAAAGTAAGTATATAATTATAAACAATAATCAACTTATAAAAAAGAATGAAGATAAAAACAGAATTATTAACCAGATTATTTATATCAAAGAATAGGTTGGAAACAATTTAATAATTAAATTAACATATAACAATCAAAAAAAAGTAACCTTCACCTTTATATGAATAAATAAAATAAAGAAATAAATAAAAAATAATTTTAATTAAATTAAATTACAAAAATAATGGATTTGTTTTATTTTTATTTTACCTTTTTTTAAAATTTATATTTTATGTACCTTTTTTTTTTTTTTTTTTTTTCTTTTTTTTTTTATAAACCACTAACATAACCAGGATTGGCATTTGCATTTATTTTAATTCTCTTTGAATAAAATGGTTCTAATTCAGTATCTTTATTTTTTGGATGAAGTGAACGTTTGGAAGGATCAACTTGATAAAGAGTTTTGAATTGGTGACGTTCACGAAGGAAATCTGGAAGAGTTTTATTTGCACCAATATCTTCAGGTTTGACAAGGTAATGTTTAACAGGTTCAGAATCATCATTGGTAACATAAGCGACAGCGAACGAACCTGGAACACTATCACTAAAATGAATTAAGAATGAACCCTCTGGGAGATTGGTTAGGAAACTGTTACATTCAGATTTAGTGATTAAACCATAGATTGAACCAGATGACCATAATGGCTCGATATGTCTCTTAAAATGGATTGCTTGAAGAATTGGTCCAAACTTATCCTAAAATGATTTACATTTGGATTTGCTAATTGAGGCTTTACCATCGAAATAAAACTTTTGGATATATTCGAATTCCCAACTGTGAAGTTTTCTCTTGATCTCTGATGATTGATGAGTTGCTGTTAAAATATGACTTTGAAGAATATTTGCAAATAACTCCCATGGGATCTCGTCTTTAGAGTTGAAAGCATCGGCGATTAAAAGTTTACCTGCAGCCTCGGCCCATTGAGACTCATTTGTAATAACGATAACTGGGTTACTTTGTACACTTTCAACCTGTTTCTCTACAGTTTTACCCGAGGTCTTTTCTTTGTAATTTGCGATGAATCTAAGACTTGATGGTGTCATACGAGTTGATACATTAATTTTAATACCCAACCGAATGTAAAATAGTGTTTTTATTGATTTTAAAATTATCTTTAATACTAGGATTTTATAGTATAAATAGGATAAACAATTAATGCCCCTTTGAGTTAATTAAAGACTAAAATAATTTAAATGGATAACATAATAACCCGCAATCAAAGCCATCACAATGAAATGCTTAGACCCTGGGTATATTATTTTTTTATTTGTAAATAAATATTTTATTATTTAAAATTTGAAATTGTATTTTTCTACCTTCAAACAAAGAGTAAATATTAATTTCGTATATATTTAAATGAAGATCAAATAATTTATTTGAGATATCTTTGAATAGTTCAAAATGTGCGAAACTTGAATCGGCTGTATATTTTCTAAATAAAAATACCACTGAATATAATTGAATCGATTTTGAATTGTTTTTGAAAATTTCGACTATTTTATACAAATCTTCAACTTCAGTCCAATCTAAATTAAAAAAATTTAAATCTCTGATCGATTTGTTGTGGGACACAATTTGCTCTATAATAGTTGTTATTGATTCGAGTAGTTTGGTTTTAATTGGCACTATTGTTAAAGTTCTGAGTGTTCTTGTTTCTTTGAGTGCTGAAATTATATTATTATCCATAAAATCGAAATAATGAAGACCAAGATCTTTGATTGTTCTATTATTTAATATTAGTGATTTTAATGAGTTTGTAACAAAAGAGTAGTCCAGGTTATCAATATTGCATTCGCCCTTGTAACAGATATTTATTAGAAATAAGCATTTGATAGTTCTATTTTCACTTAGTGTATTGATCATCATTACAAAATCATTCTTTACTTGATTTCTAATGTGGCTGGGGAATTCGATATTTTGACAAAGGTTTCTACATATCTTCTTTGTATAGATATTTGTAGTTGGTAACTCTACCTCATTAACTGCCCTAATAATATCGTGAAAATATATGGGAATATTCGCAGTTTCTAGCTTTGTCTTTTCGTTGTTGATTCTTGCTAATGTTTTTGGCTCTACATGATCCCCACCTATAATCTCGATAAATTGAAGAGATTCCATTTCAAATATATTGGTGTAATCTGTGTGTGAAAATGATTCTCTATATTCTACCCTTTTTGGTAAAAGTTTTTTAACTATATCCATTCTATCTTTTCTATGTGTCAAAAAATTTGCTGGTAACATTCCAACCAGTGCGATTTTATTGATTTTTAAATTATTGATTTTATTTAAAACATCTTTAACTCCATAATTAATTTTGAAATCAAATTCGACATTATCTTGAAATTTAATATTTGGATAGTCTATATAAGGATTAAAATCTTCAATTGGTCCTTCAATATTTATTAAAACCTTTAAATTATTATTATTACTATTATTAAAATCATCATTATTATTAACAAATTCGTAGTAATCTTTATATGAATGAAATAATCTAAAATTTGGATTTTTTATTATTTTGAACTGACTATTATTGATATTGTTTGCCATTAAAGGTTTAAAAAAGTCAAAACATAAATAGGTTAAACTTAATTCTAACGATAATCTAGTCATTTTGAACCAACTCTTACAAACCAATGCATAATTGATAATTTCATTATTATTTATTGTTCCATTATATCCAGCTGATCTAAATTTATATAGTTGACCATTAATTTTTTGAAATATTATAAAATCAATTATGTACCCATAAATATATAATAGCATTTTGTTGATAAAAAAAAAAAAATAAAAAAAAAATAAAAAATTGAAAAAAAAAATAAATAAAAAATTAAAAAAAAAAAAAATTTCTAAATTGATACACAGATTTAAAATACATCACATATCAACAAATTCATTATCTTTAGACCACAAAAACAAACCAGATAAATTTTAAACCAATAAATAAAAAGATAAAATAAATTTTCCAACTTTAAAATATTTTTTAACAAATTGTATTTTTTTTTTTATATTTTTAATAAACTTTAAATAATTTATCTTTTAAAAAATATGCAACAAATTAATTGGAGTTGGTATTTTCTTTTTTACCTAAGCAACAACTGGGTATGATGATGCAGTAGCAACGCCACATCTATTGCCGGTGTTTCTTTTCATTCTAAAATAACCTATTATTGTAAACCATCGTTATTAGTAATGAATAAATAATTTAAATAAATTAATTAAAAAAAACGTACCCTTCTCACCCCAACCAGAACCCTATAGTAAACCAATTTTAAAATAAATATTAGTATTAACAATAATAGACAATAACAGATAATAGATATAACAATACCACTTACCCAACTATTTTTTATTATCCAATAATCAACACCGTTTTGTGTGCCATAACCTATAAAATTTAAATTAGTTTCTATTAATAGATATTTTTTAACATAATTTTTTTAAAATATACTTACCAAGAACTATAACTGCATGTGTAGTTCTAGTTTTTTGACAATTAGGACTATCGTAAATACCACCCAAATATTGCATGAATTCTCGAGTAGATGCGTCATAGGCAACTGCAACTGGTCCAATAGTTGCAACAGCATTTGCCAAAGCTTCCTCATTATCCCGTGGAATCATGACAAAGTTTGCTAGTGGTGAGTATTTTTTATCACTAGCACGACACTGACCAACCTTGTACTCATATGGATATTCTCTTTCTAAATTTATACCACCAAAATCTTTTATATAGTTAAAGGAATTATGCATCCTAAATATTAAATTAAAATGGTAATGTTAATATAATACTATCTATTGATAGATAAATTATACTTACCAACCACCACTACAACCACCATTACCATATTTGGATGTACAATCAACAATTTGTTGTTCTGAAAACTCTTCATCTCTTTGATGTTTTCTTTTATAATGTGCCTCAATTGTACCAATAGCAGAGAAAGCATAACATGATCTGTGGAAAGAAAAACAATTAATTTAGTAAATAAATTTTTATATAAAAAATATAATAAACAGTATTTACCCGCATCCTCCTTGATTTTTAATATTTTTACCATATCCCCAAACTCTCCAGTCAATACTAGTTGGTATTTGTGAACTTTTTAATAAGCCTGGTTTGTTGTTTGGGGTCTCGGTTTGATTAGAATGATAACAAGTATAGTTGATTTGTTGTAAATTTACCAACCCCACAGATTTCATTATATATCCAAATCTAAGTGATTCGCCTATTGGAATAGATGATATCCATGATGGTAATCCATATTTATTTTCCCCAATGGTCGAAACTTCCCAAATTTGCTGAACTTGTAAATAAAAGTTAAAACCATTGATTAATAATGCTCCATCATTTGTAACTGTTACTTTGACTTGAATATAATCATCAGTTTGACCGCTAACCCATGAAGTTTCGATAGTTTGTTCAATTTTAACACTACATGGACCTGATGTTGGTGATGGTGTTTCGGTTGGAATTGGTGTTTCGGTTTCAGTTTGATTCCAAAGTGATTCATCAAGTTCTTCAGTATCCAAAACACTTAAATAAGTATGTTGAAATTCTTCTAGTGTCATATCTGAAAATTGAGTTAAACCAAGTTCCATTGTAGTTTCATTATTTTTATTATACTCTTGAACAAATCTACTAGAGTCTTTGAAATTTTCATAAACTTTATAAAAACTATCTGCTGAATAAGTTTTATTAAATTGATTAGACCAATCAATAAACATCTTTTGATAGTTAAGTTCTCTTTTTCTGCATTCTTTACCATAATAACCTAAAAAGCATCCACAAATATCACGATGATGATAACGATTAAAATGATGGTTTTTTTCTAATTTATCTTTATCAGTGTTATATTCATCTTGCTCTTCTTCCTGATCTTGATAATATTCTTCTTTCTCTATTTCTTCTTCTTGTTTTTGTTGTTGTAATTTTGTATTGTAATAATATTTGCATCTGTTACATTTTTCATCATGAATATCATCAAGTTCAATATAGTTGTGATGATTATGGTGATTGTGTTTATTTGGTATTTTAACTTTTACTACTACCTCTATGGTATCATCATCAGCATAATGATGTCTTCTTCCATTATAACTATCTTCTATATCATTATCATCATTATATCTACTGGATGATAAAGTTATACATAATGCCAAAATTATAAATAATGAAACTAATACTTTGATTTTCATTTTATTACAATATTATTATTATTATAATTATTATAATTATTATGATTAAAATAAAAAATAAAAAAGATTTTTATACAAACATAATTTTTATTTTGATTATGGTTTTTACATAAATAATAAATTAATTTAAGGTGTTTAATTTTTTTTTATTTAAAAGTTTCGTAAAAATTAAAGATTTTCCCAAATATAACCATTTTCTTTGCAAAAAAAAAAAAAAGTAAATTTTCGGCTTTTTTAATTGATTTTTTTTTTTAAGTAATTAAAAAAATTTGATTGCACCATATTTTTTTGTTGAGAAAAATAATAAAAATAGATAAAAATAAATAACACTTTTTTTAATAACCTTTTTCAAAAACTTTATATAAAACACAAAAGTTTTTTTTATTTTCTGGGAGGTGTGATTACCTTTATTATTAAAGCTAATTTGAGATCTGTAAAAATATTTTAAACTGTTTCACATAAAAAAGATATTGTTTTAAAAATAATTAATTTTTTAAAAAAATTTTTTTTTTTTTTTTTTAATTAAATTTTGGTTAAAAAAAAAAAAAATTAGGTAAAAATTACTTGTCCTATGGAAAATGGTAATAAAAAAAAAAATATATAGAATCTAATTCTTTTATACCCAAAATTCACCAACCAATTTATAATCATTATGAATCTAAAAGATGTTTAAAACAAAAAAAAAAAAAATAGTATAAATAGATTAAAAAAAATGATTTGAAACAATAGTATAAATAAAATGATAAGTAATAATAGTAATAAAATAGTTTTAATTACAAAAAAAGGATTATCTGAAGCATTTTCAGTAGTTAATAGCGAAATTCCAAAACCAAAGAGTGGTGAAGTGTTAGTTAAAATTGACTATGTTGCAATCAATAGAGCTGATTTTGGGTTTTCTTTAGGATGGTATTTACCATTCGAAAAGTATCCAAATCCATGTGGATTTGAAGCCTCAGGCACCATAGTAGAATTTGCAAATGATAAACAAAGTAGCAACAGCAATTTAAAGATCGGCGATAAAGTTAGTGTAATTTATACAATGGATCATACAAAATATGGTACATTTGCAGAATATGCAGTTTTTCCTATCGAAACTTTAATCAAACATAATGAATTGGTTAGTCAAAAAGAAGCAGCTGCAACATGGATTTCATATTTAACAGCCTATTATGGTTTGGTTGAAAATGGTAAAATTAAAAAAGGCGATTATGTTGTAATCACTGCAGCAAGCTCAGCATCTGGTATGGCAGCCATTAATCTAGCCAAATTATTTGGTGCCATTGTTATTGTAACAAGTCGTAGTGATAAGAAAAAACAACAACTCTTAGACTATGGTGCCGATCACTTTATAGCTCAAGACACTGAAGATTTTGTTCAACGTGTTAAAGAAATTACCAATGGCCATGGTTTTGACATTGTATACGACTCTGTTACAGGCTCTTTTGTTTCCAAACTAGTAGAAGCTGCATCAAAAGGAGCCAAATTAGTACTCTATGGTGGTATGGACCATTCTCCAATCTCTTTTCAGTTGGGTGGTGCAATTTCAAAATATTTAAATATTAAAATTTTAAATTGCAATGAATACCTCTACCAACCAGAATACTTTAAAAAAGCAACTGAATTCATCAACAGCAATTTACATACATTTAAGTCTATAGTTGGTAAAGAATTTACAGGTATCGATCAAATAATAGACTCTCTTAATTATCTTTCAGAATCCAATCTATTTGGTAAAATTTTGGTCAAGATCAATTAACAATATTAAAACAAAATATCACAAGAATATTTAATTTCTTTTTTTTATCAGTTAATAATATAAATATTTCTATATTATTTTCATTTTTTTTTAGAAACAAATAAATATTAATAAACCAAAATCTATTTTCACAAATAGAATTTTTTTTTTTTTATTAACTATTTAAGTTTTTTTATAAATTTTATTTCTGTAAAGAGTATGGTTATTTCATTTAGTTTATTGTTTTCTAAAAAATAAAATATAGTAAAATAAATAAAATACATAATATAATATATATAACATAATAGAATAATAAAAAAATAAAAAGATACTATTTGAGAAAATACAAATAAAAAAGAAAAAATAAAATTATTTAAATCTTTAATATGATAATAAATAAATAATTATTTATTAATTGGTTTAAAAATCCTGTTCATATTGACTTTTTAGTATTCTTCTTCTTCTTCAACTTCTGTTTCGGCGACAGAGTCATAATCCTTTTCGAGAGCAAGGAGATCTTCTCTGGCTTCAGCAAATTCACTGTATTGGTTTAATGAATAAAAATAAAGAGTTAATATGATTTCATAAAGTTAATTTTAAAAAAAAAAAAAAAAAAATAAATAAATTATAAAAACTTACCCTTCTTCCATACCTTCACCGACGTACCAGTGAACGAAAGCTCTCTTGATGTACATTAAATCGAATTTATGATTGATACGTGAGAATACTTGTGAAATGGCAGTAGTGTTGGATAACATACAAACTGATTTTTCAGTACGAGCCATGTTATCACCATTTTCACCAAGAACGGTAGTTGGTTTAGAGTTGTTGATACCACATTTGAAACCAGTTGGTGACCAATCGACGAATGAAACAGTTTTTGATTTTTCATTTCTAATGTTTTGAACGGCTTTTTGGGCTTCTTTTGGAACAATGTTACCTCTGTACATTAAACAACAAGCCATGTATTTACCTAAATGTGGTTGACATTTAGCCATGATGTTATTTTCAGAGAAAACAGAGTTGGTGATGGCATCAACAGTGATGTTTTCGTGTTCAGATTTTTCTTTGCTGATGACTGGGGCGTATGAGCAGAGAACAAAGTGAAGACGTGGGAATGGGACTAAATTGGTTTGAATATCATTGATATCAAGATTTAATGGACCTGGGAAACGGAGTGATGAAGTTAAAGATGAAATAACTTGAGCAATTAAACGATTTAAGTTGGTGTAGGTTGGTTTTTCAATGTCTAATGATTTCTTGCAAATGTTGTAGATGGCTTCATTGTCTAACATGAAACTGACATCAGTGTGTTCTAAAAGAGAGTGAGTTGAGAGAACACTGTTGTATGGTTCAACAACAGAGGTTGAAACTTGTGGTGATGGGTAAACACAGAAATCAAGTTTTGATTTTTTACCACCGTATTCAAGGGCTAATCTTTGTAATAAGAGTGAACCAAAACCTGAACCTGTACCACCACCAACTGAATGGAAAACGAGGAAACCTTGTAAACCTTCACATTGATCAGCGAGTTTTCTAATACGATCAGCACAAACTTCAATTAATTCTTTACCGACAGTGTAGTGACCACGAGCATAATTGTTAGCGGCATCTTCTTTACCAGTGATGAGTTGTTCTGGATGGAAAAGTTCTTTGTAACTACCAGTTCTAATTTCATCAATAACAGTTGGTTCTAAATCTAAGAAAATAGCTCTTGGGACAACTTTTTTACCATTTGATGATTCACTAAAGAAAGTATTTAAATCTTTGTTATCACCTTGTGATTTACGAGCATCTGGAAGGCTACCATCAATACCAATACCATGTTCAAGACTATTTATAAAAAAAGAGTTAATATGTGTAAAACTTATAGATTATTATTATTATTGTTGTTTGATGTTTACCAATATAATTCCCAACAACTGTTACCAACTTGGACACCAGCTTGACCGATGTGAATTGAGATAATTTCTCTGGCCATTTCTTTATTGTTTATTTAATACAACAAAAAATTTAAAAACTAAAAAAAACTAAAAAAAAAAGAAATAAAAATATATAATATCTGTTTAGTTTCTGATAATGAAGAAAACCTCACAAATTTATTTATAATATAATTAAAAAAAAAGTGAAAATAAAAAAAAAAAAAAGTAAAAAAAATTGATGGTGAATTTTAAAAAAAAAAATTAAAAAAATTTTTTATTTTTTTTTTTTTATTTTTATTTATTTTTTTAAATTTTTAAACAAAAGTTTTCAAATAAATAAATTAAATTATTTTTTTAAGATATTAAAATAGAAATAAAAATAGAAATAAAAATAGAAATAAATAAATAAAATTTAGCTTCACATTTGTCATTTCAATAACTTTTTTTTTTTTTTTTTTTATAACAAATACTATTACAATAATTACAAAATTAGAAATTTATTACAATTATTTTAAAAATTTTTAAATATCTTTTTTTTTTTTTTTAATTTTTTTAATTTTTTTTCAATTTTTTATATAATTTAATAACACACTTCAAGCATACATATAAAATTACAAAATGAACAAAGTTATATTATATGCAGATTTAATAAGCCAACCTAGTAGAGCAATATTATTTTTCCTTATAAAAAACAATATTAACCATGAGGTTAAATTAGTATCCATTGCCAAAATGCAACAAACAACTGATGACTATGCCAAAATGTAAGTTTAAAATAATAATATTTAATAATAATAAAAATAGATATTCAATATTAATAAAAATAAAAATAATAAATTTATATATGTAATTAATTTCTAGAAATCCATTCAAGAAATTACCAGCAATCGAACATGGTGGTAGAGTATTTATCGAATCACACAATATACTAAGATATCTCAGTCAAGAATTTAAAATTGATTCAATGTATGGTCCAACTTTAATAGATAAATGTAATATTGACACCTACTTGGATTGGCACCATCTTGGTCTAAGAAGATATGCAAGTACACTTTTCTTTCAAAAATTTGTATTACCAAACTTTGGCAAGCAATCCAACGAGTCCTTTATAAAAGATTCAGAATACAATTTACCAAAATCATTAAAACAAATTGAAGATATATTTTTAAAAAATGGTCAAAATAAATTTTTAATTGGAAATAATCTAACCATTGCCGATTTTTCATGTTATGCAGAAATTAAACAATTAGAAATGATAAAATACGATTTTTCAAAATTCAAAATATTAAACGATTGGATGAAAAGAGTAGAAGAACTTGATGGTTGTTTACAATCAAATAAAATTTTAAATAGAATCGTTTCAAAATTATAGTATTAATAAAAATAAATAATGAAAATGTAAATAAATCTAAAAAAAAAAAAAAAAAATATATAAAATCCATATTTTTCTTTTTTGTTGTGTCCAACAATTTTCCTTAAATATTTTTTTAAAGAAATCACAATATTCCAATAAAAACTGTTAAAATAATAAAAAATAAAAACAAAATTAATATTTTTTTTTTTTTTTTTTTTTTTCATTTTTTTCAGAAATTTTATTTAGATATTTTATTTACACATAAACATCTTATCATCAATTTCCCAACCATTCGACTGGTATAAAACAAAGGAATAGGAAACTATGTTGCAATAAAAATATTTAATATTTTTTTTTTCTTTTTTTGAAAAATAAAGGGGTAAGTAAAAATTAAAAAAATATTAAAAAAAAATATAAAAAAAAAAAATTTGTTTTTTTTAATAACCTTTCTAATAACAAATATAAAATACTCGATAATATGCAAAGTGATAGTAGCAATCAAATAATCCTTTATGGTGATAAATTATCCCAACCAACAAGAGCTGTATATATCTTTTTACGTTTGAATAAAATAGATTTCGAATTTAAAACCATAGAAATTAAAAAGTTTCAACAAAGATCTGAAGAGTTTTCGAAAATGTAAGTGTAATAAAAAAAATCATCTTTTTTGTTTTTTATTAACTTATTTTTTTTTTTATTTATTTTTTTTTTTTAAATTATATTAAAGCAATCCAATTAATAAGGTACCAGCTCTTCAATATAAAAATAAAATTTTTGTAGAATCACATAATATACTTAGATATTTAAGTCAAGATCTTAAACTTGATTCATTTTATGGCCCATCATTAGACGAAAAATCAGACATTGATAGCTACCTCGATTGGCACCACTTTGGTCTCCGTAAATGTGCTGCTACTGCATTTTTCTTACAAGTAGTTGCACCAGTCATGAAGATACAACTCAGTCCAGATTATATTAAGGATTCGTTTGCTCAAATACCACTTGCTTTATCTCAAATCGAAACCATATTTTTAAAAAATGGCGAAAATCAATTCATCAATGGTAATAAACTTACAATTGCCGATATTTCATGCTATTGTGAATTAAAACAATTATCAGGTATTAAATATGACTTTACTCCATATAAAGCAATCACTGAATGGTTAAATAAAATGGAAAAGCTCGAAGGTGCAGATGAAGCAAATTCAGTAATCAATGAAATCGCTTTAACTGGCACATATAATTAAAAAAAAAATAAAAAAATAAAAAAATAAAAAATAAAATTAAATTATAATAAAAAAATTATTTTAAAATATAAATTTACATTGTAATTCTTCTTTTAGATATTTGTTTTTTATATTTATTTTTAAATGATATTATTATAATGAAAATAATTATTGCATTTTTTATTTTAATAGTTAATTTCCGACCTTACACCAACCAGATAAAATTTCTTTTATTTAAAAATAAAAGATGTAAAAATTAGTATTTTAATTGATCCACGTAAAAATTTTTATATTTTTTTTTTTTTTCAATTTAAATTTAATTTAATTTAATTTTTATTTTTTTTATTTATATTTAAAATTTTTTTTCTTTTTTTATAAACACAAACAAATTAATAGATTGACGAAAGAATAAAATAAATAATTTCAATAAATAGAAAGACGGATAAATAAAATGGAAGCTTCTAATAAGGTTATTCTCTATGGTGATCCACTTAGCCAACCAACTCGTGCTGTTCAATGGGTTCTTATATTAAACAAGATTGAATATGAATTTAAATTGGTTTCAATTATTAAAGGTGAACAGCGTGGTGAGGAGTATGCTAAAATGTAAATATATATATATTTTGTTATTATCAATGTTATATTATTATTATTAATACAATTTTTTTTTATTATACAGTAATCCATTACAAAAATTACCAGCTATTGTCTACAAGGGTCAAGCTTATTTTGAAAGTCATACAATTTTAAGATTCCTTTGCTATGAATTTAAACTTAATAGTTTATACAGCCCAGATGACATTCAAAAAAGAGTTAAAGTTGACGAATATCTAGATTTCCACCATTTAGGTTTAAGAAAGTATGCCTCAACTAAATTTTTCTTAACTTTTGCTGCCCCACATTTAGGTATTCCAGTATCACAAGAGCACCTTAAAGAAGCAGATACCTATTTACCAAAAGCATTACATCAAATAGAAACTGTATTCTTAAAAGATAAGAAATTCATTGCAGGTAATGAGGTAACCATCGCAGATTTTTCATGTTACAATGAATTAAATGAATTATTACTTATCAAATTTGATTTTGCTCCATACAAAGTTATCACTGAATGGATGAAGAGAATGGAACAAATTGAAGGTTACAAAGAATCAAATGCTGCTTTTCTCAAAATTTTAGAAACTGGTAAATTGGAAAAATAATTATTTATAATAGAATTATTAAATAAATAATAAAATTATTAAATAAATAAATTTTAATAATCAAAAAAAAAAACAATATAAGAAATTTCAATTTTATTAAAGAACAACATTGTTATTGGAGAATATTCTCCATTTTTTAAATGGCGTTAAGTTTATGATGAAAAACTATTTTTAGTAATTACACATTACTTTTTTTTTCTGAATTTTTTGTATTTTTTAAATTTTTTGTTTTTTTTTTTAATGATATTTTTTTCTCGAAAATTCCTTTTGTTAAAATTTTTTCTCGAATTATTATATCTATGTTTAATTTTTTTTTTATCAAAGATGGTTACAATAAATAAATATTCACCATAATTGTGTTTTTTTTTTTTTTTAATTTTTAAAAATTAATTTTTTTATTTTTTTATTTTTAATTTTTTTTATTTTTATTTTTATTTTTTAATAAACTGTGAACTTTAAAAAAAAAACACTATACATATTCATATAAAATAAAATGGATTCAAAGGTAATTTTATATGGTGATTTATTATCACAACCAGTTCGTGCAATTCATTGGTTTTTAATATTAAATAAAATTCCATTCGAATTAAAACAAGTTTACCTTGGTAAAATGGAAACCAGAACAGAAGAGTTTAAAAAATTGTAAATAAACTAGATTAAAATTGAAATTAAATAAAATATTAATAATTTTTTTGTAATTAAAATAGAAACCCACTTCAAAAAATGCCAGTTATCAAATATAAAGGTCAAATATTTATTGAAAGTCATACTATTTTAAGATTACTTGCACAAGAGTTCAAACTCGATTCATTTTATAGTAGTACAGATGTATTCGAACGTTGTAAAGTAGATACATATTTGGATTGGCACCATTTAGGTAGGGAGTTAATAAATAATATATAATAAATATTTATAAAATATTAAAAGTTTTTTTTTAAAATTTTTAAAAAACAGGTTTAAGATGTAATGCACAATCCCTTTTTGCACAAAAATATTTAACTCCAAAGTTTGGAAAGGAATTATACAATGACAATAACCTTGATGCAGAACGTAACCTTCCACTTGGTTTACACCAAATTGAAGATGTATTTTTAAAAGGTGGTGCTAATAAATTCATCACTGGGGATACTATCACCATTGCTGATCTCTCATGCTATTGTGAATTAGAGCAATTGAAAGGTATTCAATACGACTTTAAAAAATATAAAGTACTCTACGAATGGATGGGACGTATGGAACAATTAGAAGGTTATAAAGAATCAAGTGTCGTAATAAACAAAGTAGCAAATGAAAAATAATAAAAATATAAACCAAACAAACAAACAGACAGACAAATAAAGATTCATTTTATAATTATAATATATTTTAAAATTAAAGTTTATTTATTTATTAATTTATTAAAATTGTTTAAAATCTACATCATTGCAATAATGGGCATACTCTAATTGATCCATTAATTGGGTTTTAATTATTTTCTTATCTTGTTCATTAATTAATAATTCCATTGTCCAACTTTGCTTTAATGTTAAAGGTTTGTTTATGAGTGTTGGGTTATTTTTCATTTCTTCATTTACTTTTATTACCTTGCCAGAGATGGGTGATAAAAAGTTAATATCGCCTTCTAATGTTTTAATTGAAATGATTGGTTGATTCTTTTTAATTGTATCATTTATATTTGGTAGTTTGACATCGGTTACTTTATCAATTGCAATATTTGCATAATTTGTAATACCTATTAAACATTTATCTCCACTGGTTTCTTTTTTAGTTGTTGGTGTATCTTCATTAGAATCTTTTAATAATTTTACCCATTGGTGACTAGGAGTAAATTTATAGCTAAAAAATCTTTTATTATTATTATTATTATAAATATTTCTATATAAAATTGAAATAAAATTTTTGTTTCTTTGCATTATTTCTTATAATTATTATTATTATTCGTTGTTATTATTTGATGAAGCCTTTGAATATTAAGGTTTTTCTATTAAATGAAGTTATTTTTTTTTTTTTATAAATTATTAATTTTTAAAAATTTTATATAATTTTTTAAAATTAAAAATTAATTTTTTTTATTTTTTTTTTATTTTCTTTTCGAAATTAAAAGAATTTTTTAATTTTTATATTAAATCTATCAAAATCAAAAAAAAACCATTATAATAATAAAAATCAATTTAATAATTTTTTTCAAAATATATGAAAAAAGGTTTGATTATATTATTAATTTTTTGGTTGAAACAATTATCACTAACTCATGGCTCCACTGTTCACAATCTTTTTTCAATGTATCCCCAAAGATTGTTTTAATCTACCATACCATCAATGATTTTTGCCTTGGTTATAAGTCATTTCAAAACCTATTGCATAAAGGTCTTTTTGTTAGTGCCTGACAAATAAATGAAAATTATTATTGTTTATTAAATAAATAAAAATAAAAAATTAAAAATAAAAAAAAATAAAAAATTTAATTTATTGATAAAATTTCCGAACTAAACGATAGAGAAGGAAAAATGAAATAAAAATAGTTCATTCCAACACCCATAAATGTAATTGAATTAGTTAATATTCTTGCATTTTTTGAATAGTTGTATTCGTAATCTAAATTTGAATGAGGGTAGCTATTGTTGTTATCTGAATTACATTCATGATTTAATTGATTAATTTCTCTTTGATATTGCTGAAATTCGGATTCATACTCTTTATTTACTTTATTTGAAATTTGTTGTTTAACTTGATAATAAATAAATTTTTTGTAAGGCGAAAGATTATTTGGACAAGGTACATCTAGAAAATAAAAGGATGGTGCTAAAATATTTGGAATTTTATCAATTTCTTCTTTTGATTCTAAATTTTCGTTTTGCTGAACTATTGAATAGTTGGCGGAGGTGGTAGTACTACCAAAAAATTTATTTAACAATTCACTATTATAACTATAGGTTTCACTAGTTTCACTTGAACAGTCATTGAATTCTTTGTTTGCACTATAAAAACCTTCCTCTTCCTCTTCATAGTTTTCATCATCTTCGAAATCTTGCTTTAACTCCTCTTCATCTGTATAATATTCACTATTATCACTTGAACTATTGAAATCTGTGTCATCCACATTACTGTTTTCATAATATTGTTTATATTGATCTGGATTTGACTGCTGTTTCTTTAAACTTTCATATTCTGGAATGAAAAATGAAATACAATAACCATTCTTTAAACCCACCATTTTCATAATACCATAGAATAATTTCGAAATAATATCGGAACGTACCAATTTTCTATGCTGAGTGCCAAATTTTTGAAATAATTTTACAAGTTCTTCATCATTTGAATGTAATTTATATTTTTTCTTTAATTCCAATAGGCTTTTTAATCTTTCTTTATGGTTTTGAATCTTTAATTGAAATCTTTGAATAATAATGGTGATAATTCTTAAACAATCTGGATTAAAAGAGGTTAAATTATTATTGTTTTGTTTATCGTCTTCGGTGTCACTGTCATCATCACTATCATAGTTGTTTCGATTAATAAAATTGTTGTTTGAAAGGAACACTTTATTTATGAGTTTATCTAATTCGCTTGGTGAATATTTTGTTATTGAATCGGGTCCAAAAAAATCAAAAATTTCTTTATATTTTTTTTCTATCATATCATCACTTTCATCTTGATGATATTCGTCATCTTCAAAAAATTGATTATCACCACTATCACTTTCTTTTATGCAAATAAGGGGTTCATTTGATTCTTCTAAAACTGGTACTTTTTGTAATATTTTTTCAAATGTTAAATCTTTATGTCTATTTTGTGTTGGTTGTTGATATTTATTTATTGTTGGTCTATTTATACTATCACTATTTAATTTTGATATTGGAATTGAATCTTTTGATAGTTCTAAATTCATTGAAGAAACTATATCTGGTTGAATTAATATTAAATTGTTGGTTTCATCATCATTGATATTATTATTATTATTATTATTATTATTATAAAAATTATTATTATATAAATTATTATAGTTATTATAAACACTATCTGAATTGTCATCATGATGTTGAGTTTTTATTTTATTTGCAAAAAATTGTAAATTATCATCATTCTTATTTAAAAAAAACAGTGGATTGGTTTTAGTTGAGTTACTAGTACCTTCTACTGTTAAATGGTCACTATTCATTGAAATAATTAATGATTCATAGCTAAAATTATTATTTGAATCTGCTCTATTTTCTAAAATAACTATAAATTTTATTAATATTGTATTTTATTATAATTGTTTAAAATTATAAACCTTTAATTACCTTCATCACTTTTTAAAATCTCAATCTGTTGTTGGTATAATTGTTGTTGTTGTTGCTGCTCTTGTAATTGTTGCTGTTGTTGCTGCTCTTGCTGTTCTTGAAATTGTTGTTGTTGCTTTTTTAGATCCTCGCTATGTATTTTATTCCTAATTTGATCGAGTATATATTTTTGTTGTGGATTTGGTTTAATATTGTTTTGATTTAACCAATCTCTTTCGGCAGAGTTTTGTTTTTCCTGTCTTTCTTTTTCCTGTTGTTTTTTTTGTTGTCTTTGTTGTTCAAATATATCTATTTTTGGAATTTTTGTGTCTATAACCGATTTGACTCTTGGGTCATCTTTTACTGACTGTAATGTTTTATATTTTAAACTATTTTCATTTTTCTTTCTTTCACTTTCGAGATCATTAGCACCTTCACTATCTTCATCCTGCACAGGATCTTTATCCTGTTCTTTTTTTGGTTGGTGACAATCTATTATATTATTTTTTTTTATATTTAGTTGAAATTTAGTAAACTCTTTTTCATCACTGTAATATTCAATCTTTTTTATTGGGAACTGTTCTTTTTTGGAATATCGATTTATAAACTCTGAATGTGATTGTAATAGGTTTTGAAAAACAATGTTATCTTTTGGATTGGGTTTAGCTTTTACTTTTGGTGGTGCGGGCACTGAAAAACCTTTAATTGGCTTAATAGTTGGTGATGCCGGTGATGAGTTTGGTGATGGTGGTGTAGATGAATTTGGTGATATTGATGGCATTGCTATGTTATGATTGTTATGATTATTATAATTATTATTATAATTATTATTATAATTATTATAATTATTATTATTATTATAAATATTATTATTAGTATAATTATTATTATTATTATTATTATTATTATTATTATTATTATTATTATTATTATTATTATTACAATTATTACTACTATTATTACTATTAAACATTGGTGTTGTTTTAGTTGGCGATTTTAATGGGTTTTTGTATATTTGGTTATTATCATTGCTATGACTACTATTAAAAATATTTGTTGAGGAGCTGCCACTATTGCTCTTAAAATCCTCTTGAAATGAAGGTGGAACAATTTGGTTCTGATCAGAGTTCTTAAAAAATGTAGAATTGGATGGGCTTGGACTATTACTATCAAATGAATTCTTCTTGTATATTGATTTTTCCGCGCTGCTATGATGATTATAATTGTTATGGTTATTATAATTGCTGTGATTGCTATAATTGTTATTTTTATTGTTATAATTATTATAATTATTATAATTATTATAATTATTATAATTATTATAATTATTATAACCATTATTGATATTATTATTATTTACATTATAGTTTAAATTATTGTTATTTACATTACTCCCTCCATTATAATTACTATTATTGTTATTACTATTGCTATTGACATAATTTTGTTGATTATTGTGGGCTTCATTACTATAACTTTCATTTTTATAAGTTTTATGTGTGTATACTTTAAAATTTTGTGTTGATTGTAGGGAGGTATTGTTATTGCTATTATTGCTATTACTGTTACTATTTACACTATTGTTTATATTATTACCTGCACTACTATTA